CTCACTTTACCCTTCACCTTCAAATTGTATAATAGATTTATTAAATTTGATGATGTGGTGCGTTGAGGTTCACTTTTTTGCTAAAATGTGGCCATGAGGAGGTCTTCTATTCGGCACCCAGAATTAGAGACATGTTAGAGGGGTTGGAACCAAAGAGTTGGCCAAGGTTAGCATGACAAATCAGGAGATGGAGTAGGATGTGTCATATGTGTATGGATCCGCACGGACACGTGGTCTGTTGCCGGACCCAGAATTTCTCACACAAGACGTTAGCAAATTTAACATATTTTTTACAGACTTAACAGTGGGAGGCAAAGCAAGGCGTTAAAAATAAAATTCAGAAGCAATACAGGATAAAATGACCTCAAGATGTAAAGGGATCCAAACCGCAAATTGCATATGAAGTTCTTCAAAGTCTCAAGACATCCGATAAAATTTGAACGATTCATCTGTTTCCTTTGTAGTTGGCAACCAACTAAATGAAGAGATACTCTGTAAAGCCAGGCATCTTCCTCACGGGCAATTGAAGGTTAAAACCTTTGGTTCCCCACCCGGAGAGAAACAGAAATATAAACTTTGGGGAAAAATAATCAAAGGATATAATCATCAAATTGCAACGAAAAAAATAGTTACTACTAACGCAAGCATGAGAATCCAGAAAGCAAGGTACAAACATAGTAACATCATAAAGCTGTTTAAGAAGTATCACTACAACATTGAAGGAAAACATTTCATCTGGTTGATATGGAAATTAGAGGATGTGTTTCTTCTCTATGTAAACATGTGAAAATGTAATATCAATGCATAAACCGTTTTTTCTTTTCGTTTTCCCTTTTTCTGCTACAAACCTTTATTGTCAATTTCTACAGATGGACCCACCAGAAAGTTGGAAGCGTTCTTGAGTTCAATCAACCTCGTGAGAAAGCAGTGAAATTCATATGATAGCAGGTGGGATTGCATGGGAATGGACAGTCAATTTGCTTTACTGCATTTCAACCAAAGTACCAGTCGCCCACAGACTCTGCAATTGTCTTCCAAAGTTCGAACCAGTCAGATAACAAGTTCAGTATGAAAAATGACAGAAAACCATTTGTTTTCAAACAAAAAAGATTAGCAGATTTTGATGCCGTAATGCCAAACTCGTGGTATTCAGGCACTCAGTGCACATACATATATTTCAAAAACCTCGAGGAAAGTGAGCAAACAAGCAACAAGGGGAGGAAGATCATTAAACTTTCATCTTGTCTCCAGTCTCCGTATTTTCGTTGCTAAATCTTTTTTCTGGAAAGCAAAGTACACAAGATATCCACGGCATACATGTTTACATCAAAAGAACAATTACTACACTGAAAGCGCAAAGAACATTATACTAAAAAGTGTTTCTCTCCTCCTCTATGTAAAAAACTTGTAACATGATGGCAAGTATAAACTGCTATTCTATTTTCTTCACACCTTGTCTCTATTTTCTTTTCGGGTTTGATAGACACCTCCTACTCAATGTCCACAGGGAGAGGAGCATAAACAATAAGGGAAGATTTCCGCCAGGAATAAAGATCTAAAGTTGGGAATAGTCCACTAGAAAGTTTGAAGTTTTCTTGAGTTCAATAAAAAAAGGTCATAGAGCAGTAAGCTTTATATGATAGCAGGTGGGACGATTTGGATCCTCTCCGGAGTCCAAGGAGAGAATCCTTCTGATCAGGAGAATCCTCTCCTTGAGCTTTATATGATAAAAATCGAACGGCCCACACTACTTGATCAGGAGAATCCTCTCCTTGGGCTTAGGAGAGGATCCAAATCCCAGGTGGGATGGCATGGAAATGGGCAGTCAGTTTGCTTTACCACATTCCAACTGAAGTACCAATCACCCAGACTCCGCAGTTGTCCATGAAACTTCAAATCAGTCAGAAAAGTAGTTTGAAAATGACAGAAAACCATTTGTTTTCCAATAAAGGAATGAGAAGATTAAAATTTCCACACCTTATTGTTTATTCGTAGAGAAGTGGGTGATTGCCATGTCTCGGTTATCCATATCTAGCAATGAATATGACATGAATTTATAAGCATTCCTCATTCCGTATGTTTTTGGAATTCAATCAGTACTTTCAGCATAGAATCACAGAAACCTATACGAAATAAGTTGATACGTTAATCTGCCACAATATCTGTTTACAATTACACTTCATAATAGAACGAATAGCAATGACCTATCTGTGGACCCTATTTTTCGATTGACAAGAAGCCTGAAGCTACAAAATACATGCAAGATGAACCAATACTTATAGTCCCCTAGTTTGACAATGTACTTCTGTGAAGTTGACACTAGTAATGCCCACTTTTGCAACTTGCAACGGTAAAAAATCCTGGTTTATGGCCCACAAACTCTAGGATTCTTAGGGTAACATTTTTCATAGGATATTTTAACTGCAACGCGATGAGAAGAAACAAACTTCCTGCTCATCACAGCATGCAGTGTGCAAATATGCTGGTTTATAATCCACAAAAATCTATGGATGGTTACGATCAACCACTTGAATTAAGAATTATCAGATCATTGGGACAGTAGCGCATGAAGAGTGGGCCACAAACATGCTTAGCTACATAAAGTCGGGCCAGCATTAGGTGTATGTGGTTTTCCTGGACAGTCAGGCAATATATAATTTGGCCTTCTCAAATTTAATCACCATGTATTATTTCAAGCTGGTTGGGATTGCAATTGTGAATGTTCAGTTTACACTTTTTCCAATAGCCACGTGGATCTGCTGCTTCTGGTATCAAGATATGTTGTACCTAATGTCATAAAATTAGGAAATGAGAGAAGAATGCAAATCAATTTCTGATAACAAGTAAATGAATCTTGGGTTTTGAAGTAAATTATCTGCCAAAAATCATAAGCTGGGTTTTGAAGGAAATGTAGGAAACAGAAAATGGCTCAAAACTTTCCCTCTTATTTCTTTATGAATTCACTATCCCAAGCACAGAGGATGCACTGGGGAAGAAAAAAGGGAAAAACATTATACACGTAAAACAATTTAAAAAAAAAAAATTCTATTCTAACTTGATAGGAAGAATTTCGAACATTTTAGAAAAATGCGGTATGTAGGTGTTCCGTTTTGATAGGTCTCATATCCTGACGTATGGATAAAGGAGCATGATCAAACACTTCCAAGGAATATGGAACACCATCATTTTATGAAATTTATGATTTAGAGATATTATATGATCCTGGAAGCGTACACAAGGAAATATGATCCTTGTATAATCCTAGAAAGATTTCATCTTGAACAGGTTCACTAAAAGATGTAGGTGCCGAAGGCACTATGTTGGTCCAAAAATTAAGGCTCTAAGTAATGAGCCACAACCTAAATTTGGGGGAGTGGAGCTAGAATAAAGGAGCATGATCAAACACTTTCATATAATATGGAACATGGAGAAATAGAAGAAAAGTGGAAAAAGTCAAGGAGTATGATCAAACACTTTCATATAATATGGAACATGGAGAAATAGAAGAAAAGTGGAAAAAGTCATTCCTAGTACGATTTATTTATAACATTTTTGATCATTTTAATTAAAACTAAAACTCTTGAGAATTTTAGTTAGTTTCGTAAAAATAATAGCAAAAAACTTAATGAAGGCTTAAATATCCCCAGCGACCGATTCCCACCCCCAACGGTGACTCACTTTCGATCTGCAACGACGACGAGGATCTCAGCTTCCTCGAGGACGCCACCGACCAAAGCGCCGCCGCGTCGAACCAACCAGATCCGGACCACTACGACGACGATTTAGGAACTTCTTCGATGTCGACGAAAACGGGTACAGGAGAAGATGGCAGCCCAAGACTCCTGACTGGGTTGATGTTAGTTCAAATGATGGGTTGTTGGCCAAGTGCACCAACGATGAATCCAATAGGCAACGGAGCCAAAATCGATCAAAACCCATAAAAATTCAGTACCCATCAACAAAAAAACCAATCAAACCCCAACAAAAACAATTAAATTCACAAATTTTATCTCAGCTAAAGGATCCTCACCAGAAGAGAGGATCCTGTTGGCTTGCACAGGCCCCATATCGACAGAAAGGGAGAAAATGCAGGATTGGCACTGGCCTGCTCACGTCCCCAAATCGAATCCACTGGCGTCGACGAAGACCCATCGACTCAGCCACCACCGGCCATGGCTGCGATCTTAGCTCGGAAATTTCTCCAGGCTCTCCGCGTCAGACAGCTCGTGAGTTTATCCTCTGCCCTAACTCGCCTTTTCTTATCCTCCGTTTGGATTCCGATAAAATCCGGAAAAATTGAATTCCAAGTTTGAATTTGGTTGTTACCGGTGAATATTTCGAATCAGCTAGCCCACGCTGCATAGCAACAAATTACAGGACCACAGCGCTTTCTTTTTCTTTATGTGTAGAAATTTAGATTAGAAAGCTGGTTTTAATGGAATATAATTAGGGAATTTGATCGATATTGTGGATAAATTTTCGTGTTGATGTGTTGTTAGCTGGCACTTATGAGCTTGTTAAGTAATTGCTCTATGTTTCTCATCTGATCAGATGTTTCTGACTTTGGCATTTGCATTGTATGTAGCTATATTTTTGGATTCCTGTTTGAATCTGTTCAATGCAAGTAGGAAAGGAAACGGACTCTTTCTCGTTCGATTCCATGATTGGTATTACTTGGAGTGATTGAATTTGGATCCTATTTAGCAAAAAAAAAACATAGTGATGAATTATTATAGGACCAATCTTTGGTTAGGAAGTTCCTCTAGACCTGCCCTCAGAAGAATTGCAACTTAGTTTTGTATTGGTCGAGAGTCGACAGTATTAGTCAATTTCTCAATGGAACTGTTGAGGGGAGTCTTTGGATTGCTGCTAAAGTGACTCTTCATTACGACTGTAACAGCCATTGAAACTCACCTAAAGAGCTTTCTCTATTACAATTGTGGTACAATTGAACCTGACAGGTATTCTTGTGTTTTGCTAATGTTGAGGAAAGTAGATGGCGTTTAAATTCTTTAAATTTGAAAAATAGCTGAATATATAAAAAATTTAAATTAAAAATCTAGTTACTAGTTATTTACACCATAGTAATATCCTGTGTGTTGAAATGCGTCGAGAACTTAGAGACAATACTTTTTAATCTGGCAGCCCTGATTGCAAAGACTTCAACTTTTTCGTGGGACTTGACAGTTTGGCCTGAGATGGGTAAGCCGGAAAATGGGGTAGATGTCGCCGCCCAACCTATAAGTTCTTTTCCATAAACATCACCTTTCTCAAGATATGCAGTGCTTGACGAGCCACTTTCGCCACCAGTAGTAGTAGTCTTGTAAGCAAGTGCAATGCCCTGCGTGATGAAGAGCATCCTATCTAGTGGCTCCCCCTCTCGAATAATATAGGTACCATCAGCATAGTTAACTGGCTCAAGATCCTCCATGATTGCATTCAATACTTCTTTGTCCTTGTTTTCAAGCCCTGGCAACTGGGATTAATTCATACATGTAATTAGAAACTTAAGACTACATCGATAAGATCCAATAAGCAACATCATTTTACTAAGACGGAAGATAATCAACTGTTCAAAAGTACAGTCAAGAAAGAACGCCCGAAGAACTCAAAGAGGAGTTCATGCTCCTATCTATATAATAGCTTGAATTCGTTAACTAGATTATTTGAAAAGCCATCTACTACCACAAGTTTATAGAAAACTAAATAGAGCTATGCATATGGAGAAATTGAGAGAGGACATTAGGAACTTACTTTCTTTAGTGTATCCAAGAAGAGATGTCTCTTAATATCTTCCTTAAGTTCCCCAGGAAGTAAAGAGAAGATATTCTTCACCGGAAGATCTTCGTCCTTTTCAAGTGCTTCTCTTACTAATTCCCAAATCGCCTTAGCTGCAGATTCAGGGGACTTAGCGTTCGGAAGTTTATCAGGGATGCCATATTCAGATAACATGAAACGTATTTGTTGAGATATGACTTCCTTCCTCAGCCGTATCCTATATGTTCTGGTAGTTGCCTGCATAAATGTCTACTCCACAACGGGGAGGTTTTGGACTTGAGTTTATTAAATCCTGTAAGTTTACATGCATATATATGTAGAAACTACTCAAAAGAGAACAGATATACAGTATATAACTCATCACCGACCTGCAAATGTCCAAGCAGATATATGAATAGTACTAGACCACTCATCGAAATAAAAATTACGAAGACGTTTTCCCATGCATAGGTACTAGTGTTGAGATTTGAAGCAAAAGAACTGCAAAAATCATTGGAGCAATATATTAAAATAGTATTTCTAAAAATAAATAAATAATATATTAAAATAGTATTTTAAGAGAACTATTATTGGTACTTCAAAAATTTAATTATGAACTCTTCGTAAGAGTATTTTTCTTTCTATATATATATATATACACACACATATATATATATATATATATATATATATTATAAACACACACATATAGAAAGTTTGGAGAACAATACTAGTGTTGAGATTTGAAGCAAAAGAACTGCAGAAATCATTGGAGCAATATATTAAAATAATATTTGAACGGAACTATTATTAACACTCTAAAAATTTAATTATGCACCCCTCATAAAAGTATTTTTCTTTCTATATATTTAGAAAGTTTGGAGAAGAATAACAAATCCCTATGTGAAAAAGGACAACTTATTAGACGACTGGATTTGTATAACTGAATTTTGATAGTCAATTTTAATGTGGCGCATCCCATGCATCGGTGTGTTGTAGGAAAAAAAAAACCATATGCATGACGCAATATCTTAGAATAAAAACACTTATGTAGGACAAACCTTAGATTTCGTAAGCCCCATGAGAAACACATTAAGAATTTTTGAGAAAAATCTGTTGTTCCCACTATGCCAGACTGGAGAGTGTTAAGGAATATGCCAAAATCGAATACCACTGGATTTGGTGGATTTGTTGGACATAAATCATGTAGAAGTGTGATATTTCTGAACCCAGAATTATCACATTGTAAAGTACTTAAGTCACATCCATTTTCACTTCGACAAGTAGAAATCCAACAATCTATCTCTCGTTGAATAGAAAAAAAGTACCAAAATGCTCCGAGTACCTAACAAACCAAGAATTACATTTGTAACTCAACAATATTTAAAGCAACTTATATATGGAGCAGTTAAAACAAACAAAGATAAGACGATAACTTACATAGCTAGCAAGGATGTACATAATGAAATTTAATAGACCTGGAATCCATATTTTCCTTCTCATAGCAATGTTGTTGCTAAGTTCACGTGTTGACTTGTTATAATTCTTACAGAATTTGAACATTGGATAAGCTCGTGCAACATATTGCAATAGAATAAGTGAGTTCAAAAACTTCATTCCATTCAACGATCTTGAGCCCGTCATTTTCGGAAGGAAAATTAAAATTACGATCTGTACACAAATGTAACTAGTAATTAAATTTTGGATGTTGTGTGACAGAATCAGCAAAATCAAATTATCCTAATTCCTAATATATGACTTAAGAGATTACGAAAAATAATTAACTCCAGAAAAGTAATTGGCTTACTTGTGGAATAGGAAGAACAGGTAAAATGCTTTGAAGTAGGAATTCTGGGCGAAAAAGCCGACCTGCTTCTCTCCACCAGCAACTGTTCCTGTCCTTACATATCAATGCGTGCAACACATGCAGCACTTGATAGATGGTTTTACATACGTAAGGGAGATCTGTAAATGATCGCAAAACAATAGCTGTCTTTTTCAATTTTTCGTCCAACGCGAGACACTTGATATTTTCATTGATGATAGGAACAAACAAGAACAAAGGGTCCACAAGCAGAGGGCCAATAGAAACCATCATGATGATCAGAAACAATATCTGTAACATTATTACAAGTATTGACCACTCTGATCCATCTCCTCCATCTCTCTTATCAGACTTCCTCCTTCCATGCTTAAACGTTGCAAAAATTATTGATATTGTTGAGTCCTTTGGTCTCTTTGCAAGCCTTAAAATTTCATCACGTAGCAACAAGCTGAACAATTAATACACTAGAATTAACGCATGAAATTCATTTGTTTGATTTGTTTATTCCTATTTCGAACAACCATGCATATTGATCTGATGCAAAAATTCTTTGTTTTAATTTGAAAAGGAAAAAAAAATGTTAAAGATATCAAAAGAAGGGTTAATTTTAGTTTATTATTATAAAATTTATTGATTTTCAACATTTAGTATATGAAGTTTTTTTAATCCTAGAATTGTACTCCAAAATTATAATTTTGGGACAGTTTCATATATTCGTTAAGATTGCTGTTAATTCAACTGTTAACTAGTGATGTGACGTCTACGTGGACAATGACTGAGCGCTACTTATCAATATAGCCACGTGAAAAATAATAAAAATTAAAAAACTTAAAAAAAATTAAAAATTAAAACAAATTTTCTTCTTTCTAAACCCATGGCCGATTGCTTCCTCCACCTCTCCTCCTCCTCCCACGACCTCCTCTCCTTCCCATGGCTTTCGAGACCTCCTCGACTCCTTCCTCCGCATACACCAGGAGTTCAAAACTCTCATCCTCTCCTCCACTAAAACCCACATCTCCAAATCCACCGTTGACCGCTACATCTCCGAATACTTCGAACGCAGCGTCAAAGCCCTAGACGTCTGCAACGCCATCCGCGACGGAATCGAGCAGATGCGTCAGTGGCTTAAGTTGCTCGACATCTCCTCCCTCATTACCCACTTCACCCCTGTTTTCAACACTTCAGACCAAAACCCAATTTCCCAATTCGGATCAACCCACGTCGTCATCTTCTTCTTCGCCCAGATCAGCCATTTCTGCCGCAGGAACCTTCTTCGTCGCCGACAACTCAGCCACATCTCCATCTCCGCCTTCCCCTCCTTCGAACCCAACTCCCTCAAAGTACCCATTTTCCAGTTCCAATTCTCCCCCTCCCAATTCCCCATTTTTCCCATCCAACTCTTCCCCTCCCGACCCAGCCATTCCCCGCCAACAGCGCCGCACCGAATAAGGCCCTTGCAACCTAGCGATCGCAATGTTCGTCCCTGTCCAAAATCCTTGTTGAGCTCCTGATGGTGGAGATCAAAGGAGGAAAGAAAGAAAATTTGTTTTGATTTTTAATTTTTTTAGTTTTTAATTTTTAATTCCTTTTTAACTTTTATTAATTTTTTCTTTTTATTTTGTAATTTTTAATTTTTTTGATATTTTAATATCCACGTGGGTTTATATTGATATGCGGTCCCCAATCATTGTACACGTGGGTGCGACGTCATCAGTTAACAGTTGACTTAATAACAATATTAACGGATGTATAAGACTGTTATAAAATTATGACTTCAGGTACCATTCTCGAATGAAAAAATTTCATGTACCAAATATTGAAAACCCAAAAACTTTAAGATATTAAACTTAGGGGTGGTTCGGTATGGGATACCGAACCGAAAGTAGTATCCCGAATCCCAAACCGAAATTTTTTGGGACGGGAATTTGAAGACCAATCATAAACCAAAATTTCGGGAATCCCAAATTTCGGGAATCCCGAAATATTTTCGGGATTTCGGGACAAATCGGGAATCCCAAATTAAAATATGAAGTTATGAATTATTCTTCAAATATATAATTTAAGAACACATTCATGAACTAGGAATGTCATTTCATTCACACTACCATTTAATCAAATATTGGCATGCTTGATTGTTTTTATCAAAGTCAAAATTCAAATTAATTAAACCCTTTTGACAATCTGTTAAAAGACAAAAGAATCAAACCTTCTGAAATCATTAGCCATGACAGCAGCAATAATAAAATCCAAATGAATATCAAACAAAACATGAAAAATATGCAAGGTGTAAGGCATTCCAGGTTGCAGAGCATGAATTAGAAACTGCTAGCATCAATTATAAAAGAATAATATATAATATATATATATATATATAAATTAATAATATATAATTTCGGTTTGGTATGGGATTCCCGAAATATTGAGAAGTTAATCCCAAATCCCATACCAAAATTTCGGGATCGATTCGGGATAGCATCCCGAAAATTTCGGGAATTTCGGTTTGGGAAATTTTTGGTTTGGGATCGGGATTTTTTCGGTTCGGTTTGGGATTTACGGGAATTTTTTCCACCCCTAATTAAACTGATATTAACCCTTAAAAGAAATATGAAACCTTGTTTGGCCGACTTACATGTCAAAAGAGATATCCATTTCCTGAGCCATCAAAACCCGAATGAGGAGCTTCTTGAAATTACGACAAAGTACATATGTTAACTACAACCACTACAAGATGGAGAATTAGGAGGCTGGGGGTTTAATGGACAAATTAAGAAGCTAGCTAGCTAGGGCTTTGGAAATCTGAAAATGAAGATATCATGCAGCAAACCCAACTGGAATTTAAGATCAAGCATAAATGGCTTTTTAGGCAAGTCGTTAGATTTATAATGGTCCACGGGGTCTTGGACTTTTCCCAAGTACGTACATTTTCTCATATATAATTGTGCTCACCAACCAGAGCAATAAATAGGCCACTTACCAACCGTTTCGGACAACGGATAAAAGGCAAATGGGGTCCGTCATTTATAACTTATAATAGACTAACAATAATTTGATTCAAATTTATTTTTGACGAGAATCGAATATAAGACCTCTCACTTATAAGTGAAGAAAAATATCACTTGACCGTAGGACTAAGTGGCGATGGAGTCTCGTCATTTAAATTCTTATTTATTTCGCCTGGAATGGTTTTGCTTTGAGTGAGCTATAAATTTTCGGATTCCAAGTGATGAGTTAAATCATATTGGAGTACCTACTAAGTAATATTATGGCATCTCCAAAAGAGATGTCAAATTTAAAACATTAAATTGATATTTAATGGCTTATGTGGCAATTTAACATTTTGTACAATTTTTTGATCCACCCAATATGTTGAATAATAATGTCATTTTAAATTTTTGGCTAAATTGGATTAATGGTTTTCGTGATGTTAGGGTAATCGTAAGATAACCCCGGTGATGAAAAAATTCGGATTTAAACTCTCGTGGTGAAGTCTGTTAGGATTCAAGCCAAAATTAATATTTCCGCCAACTTTCTGTTAACCAAAATTAACAATCCTACCCTTCCTCAAATTTTTCATGCGTTCCCATTACAGAACTCCTAATGGATATGATATACATCCTATTATAAAACTCGGTATGATATTAAACCGTTTACGGTCTCAACAACCAATCGACTCATGCGTACAAGCAGCAGCAAGTAAGATCTCGTTTTGGGAACTATATCAATGAAACAGCAACCAATCAGGCCATTGAACTTGACATCTATAAAATCTGTTTTCTGGAGTTACGAGAAGTAGTCGGATTGCCTCATGAAAGTCTGGTGGTAAAGAGATTTCAAATGAAATATGTGTGCATATGCCAACAAGTATGGATGCACTGTAGGAATGCTATTGTTCTTGCGTGAAATCAAAGTCTTGCCTAAGCACAAGGATGAAATTTCATCTTGATGGAAGAAATTATTCCCCCTTGCTTTTAGGCTTGACTTAGTCTTTTCGACAGCAGCAAGCAGGTCCTTAAAGTCGAGTCCAACACACCACAAATTTTGCGTTAACATAGCGTTGATGGAAATGTTAATTTTGGGCTTGAATCCTAATGGACTTCACTACGAGGTTTAAATCTGAATTTTTTCACTACGGGGGCTATCTTCCGATTACCCTATTACCATGGGGACTATTAATCCAATTTAGCCAAATTTTTTTATCACTTTGTGGGGTCTATTTATGGAGGCAATCAATCAAATTCTTAGAATACACAACAACATTTATTATATATGCATTAAATTAAGAAAAAAAAAACTAAATGAATTTGCCAGTAGAAGACTTTACCTTCAATTGACTCAGCGCCATGTAGGAAATTGAAGGCTCGGTTTGGAGAGAGTTTGTTACCATTTTTTACTGTTATATGTCTATGTGACCTCTCATTTGAAGATACTTCTAGAGAGATCACATTTTGAGAGGCCACATTGTACTATGTAGGACACATTGATACATATAGGTCACTCCTTTGCTAAAAGGATGATTAAAAGATGGTATTATGTGTCCATTTCTGGTAACAGGCAAAAATCAGTGATCACATCTTGAGAGACGACATTATACCATTTTTATAATAGAGGTGAACTCACTAGTATAGTAGATCACCTCTTCACTAAAAGGACGGTACAATGTGGTCCATTTCCCATAAGGATTTTCATCCCAAATAGTCCTTGAAATTGATACACCTAGAGGTGGAATTTTTTGCCAAATTACCATACCAACCATACCATACCAAAATTGTGCCAAAAAATTGTACCAATTGGTAATTGTACTGTTTTGTACCGTACCATACATTTTTGGTACGGTATTGATATCCAAAACCATTACCGATGGTATACTGTACCTACCAATATTATTAATATTAATTAATTATTTATTCATTTGTATATATAATTAGGTATTATGTAATTATCATTATTATATTATGTACAATACATTTTTTTCCTAGTCATTTATCCAAAACCATCATCTCTTTGACCTATGTTTGCCGAATAAAAAAAACCTTTCTTTGTAGTCCATCTCATTTTCTCCTTCATCAAATTAGATTGTCTTTGTCTGTGGCTCTGTTTATTAAATTAATTTCTATACAGTTTTGAAGAATGTAGAGACGGAGTCTAAGAATCTCTTTGCTTTTCTTTTGTTTTTGGGGATGTTGGGTACTTGCAGCAGTTCCTCCATCTATTTATATGTTGCGTTTTTTTCACAGTTCTTTCATCTATTTACTTCTCATATATAATTGTGCTCACCAACCAGAGCAATAAATAGGCCACTTACCAACCGTTTCGGACAGCGGATGAAAGGCAAATGGGGTCCGTCATTTATAACTTATAATAGACTAACAATAATTTGATTCAAATTTATTTTTGACGAGAATCGAATATAAGACCTCTCACTTATAAGTGAAGAAAAATATCACTTGACCGTAGGACTAAGTGGCGATGGAGTCTCGTCATTTAAATTCTTATTTATTTCGCCTGGAATGGTTTTGCTTTGAGTGAGCTATAAATTTTCGGATTCCAAGTGATGAGTTAAATCATATTGGAGTACCTACTAAGTAATATTATGGCATCTCCAAAAGAGATGTCAAATTTAAAACATTAAATTGATATTTAATGGCTTATGTGGCAATTTAACATTTTGTACAATTTTTTGATCCACCCAATATGTTGAATAATAATGTCATTTTAAATTTTTGGCTAAATTGGATTAATGGTTTTCGTGATGTTAGGGTAATCGTAAGATAACCCCGGTGATGAAAAAATTCGGATTTAAACTCTCGTGGTGAAGTCTGTTAGGATTCAAGCCAAAATTAATATTTCCGCCAACTTTCTGTTAACCAAAATTAACAATCCTACCCTTCCTCAAATTTTTCCTGCGTTCCCATTACAGAACTCCTAATGGATATGATATACATCCTATTATAAAACTCGGTATGATATTAAACCGTTTACGGTCTCAACAACCAATCGACTCATGCGTACAAGCAGCAGCAAGTAAGATCTCGTTTTGGGAACTATATCAATGAAACAGCAACCAATCAGGCCATTGAACTTGACATCTATAAAATCTGTTTTCTGGAGTTACGAGAAGTAGTCGGATTGCCTCATGAAAGTCTGGTGGTAAAGAGATTTCAAATGAAATATGTGTGCATATGCCAACAAGTATGGATGCACTGTAGGAATGCTATTGTTCTTGCGTGAAATCAAAGTCTTGCCTAAGCACAAGGATGAAATTTCATCTTGATGGAAGAAATTATTCCCCCTTGCTTTCAGGCTTGAATTAGTCTTTTCGACAGCAGCAAGCAGGTCCTTAAAGTCGAGTCCAACACACCACAAATTTTGCGTTAACATAGAGTTGATGGAAATGTTAATTTTGGGCTTGAATCCTAACGGACTTCACTACGAGGTTTAAATCTGAATTTTTTCACTACGGGGGCTATCTTCCGATTACCCTATTACCATGGGGACTATTAATCGAATTTAGCCAAATTTTTTTATCACTTTGTGGGGCTATTTATGGAGGCAATCAATCAAATTCTTAGAATACACAACAACATTTATTATATATGCATTAAATTAAGAAAAAAAAAAAACTAAATGAATTTGCCAGTAGATGACTTTACCTTCAATTGACTCAGCGCCATGTAGGAAATTGAAGGCTCGGTTTGGAGAGAGTTTGTTACCATTTTTTACTGTTATATGTCTATGTGACCTCTCATTTGAAGATACTTTTAGAGAGATCACATTTTGAGAGGCCACATTGTACTATGTAGGACACATTGATACATATAGGTCACTCCTTTGCTAAAAGGATGATTAAAACATGGTATTATGTGTCCATTTCTGGTAACAGACAAAAATCAGTGATCACATCTTGAGAGACGACATTATACCATTTTTATAATAGAGATGAACTCACTAGTATAGTAGATCACCTCTTCACTAAAAGGACGGTACAATGTGGTCCATTTCCCATAAGGATTTTCATCCCAAATAGTCCTTGAACTTGATACACCTAGAGGTGGAATTTTTTGCCAAATTACCATACCAACCATACCATACCAAAATTGTGCCAAAAAATTGTACCAATTGGTAATTGTACTGTTTTGTACCGTACCATACATTTTCGGTACGGTATTGATATCCAAAACCATTACCGATGGTATACTGTACCTACCAATATTATTAATATTAATTAATTATTTATTCATTTGTATATATAATTAGGTATTATGTAATTATCATTATTATATTATGTACAATACATTTTTTTCCTAGTCATTTATCCAAAACCATCATCTCTTTGACCTATGTTTGCCGAATAAAACAAACCTTTCTTTGCTGTCCATCTCATCTTCTCCTTCATCAAATTAGATTGTCTTTGTCTGCGGCTCTGTTTATTAAATTAATTTCTATACAGTTTTGAAGAATGTAGAGACGGAGTCTAAGAATCTCTTTGCTTTTCTTTTGTTTTTGGGGATGTTGGGTTCTTGCAGCAGTTCCTCCATCTATTTATATGTTATGTTTTTTTCACAGTTCTTTCATCTATTTACTTCTCATATATAATTGTGCTCACCAACCAGAGCAATAAATAGGCCGCTTACCAACCGTTTCGGACAGCGGATGAAAGGCAAATGGGGTCCGTCATTTATAACTTATAATAGACTAACAATAATTTGATTTAAATTTATTTTTGACGAGAATCGAATATAAGGCCTCTCACTTATAAGTGAAGAAAAATATCACTTGACCGTAGGACTAAGTGGCGATGGAGTCTCGTCATTTAAATTCTTATTTATTTCGCCTGGAATGGTTTTGCTTTGAGTGAGCTATAAATTTTCGGATTCCAAGTGATGAGTTAAATCATATTGGAGTACC